TGTAGGGAACATTTTTCCTGATGATTACGAGTGAAAGCCTAAGGTCCAAAAGGAAATTGATAGTAAATATTATAAGGTGACATTTGGTATATGAAAAGTGTTTAGTTTCTTGAGAATCTAAAATTGAGAATGTTAGTTTTCTTGCTTTAGTTTATTATTTTAATAAAATTTCTCTAGAAACCATGTTTCTTTGGAATCCTTTTAACCTATTTCCCACGAAATTATTGGGAAAAACCCAAGTCCCACATCGACTAGAGATTAGGCAATTGAATAGTATATAAGTGGAAAGCAACCCTCACCTTACAAGCCGGTTTTGTAGGGTTGAGTTAGGCTTAAATCCACTATTCTAACATGGTATCAGAGCCATTTAGATCCACTTTAAAAATGGGCCACCCACCATTGATGCATGCCTCATAGGTGTGAGGGGGTGGGTTGTGGGCTATGCTTATTGCTGACTTATTATCACAATAGAGCTTCATAGGTCCTTCCGATTTTATCCTCAAGTCTTCTAAGATGATTTTAAGCCATAGCAACTCACATATACCTTGTGCCATGGCTCTGAATTCCGCTTCAGCACTGGACCGAGCCACTACACCCTGTTTTTTGCTTCTCCAAGTTACAAGATTTCCTCCAAGAAAGGTGCAATATCCTGTAGTTGACCTCCTATCCACGATTGACACTGCATAATCAGCATCTGTATAGGCTTCAAGCTTCACATTACCATTTCTTTTGAATAGGATTCCTCTTCCTGGAGTTCCTTTAAGGTACTGTAAAATTCTGTGGGCAACTTGTAAATGGGTCTCCTTTGGACTGTGCATAAATTGGCTAATTAAACTCACTGCATAGGCAATATCTGGCCTGGTATGAGACAAATATATAAGTCTGCCCACTAATCGTTGGTACATCTCTTTGTCAACAGCAACATCTTCTTCTGCATTTCCAAGCTTTAGGTTTGGTTCTAATGGGGTACTAGCAGGTTTGCAAGCTGCCATTATTGGGACAACTTTGTCCCTGTAACTACTTACCACTCTTTTTTTCCCACTATTTTCTATTTTTTCTACTTTTCCAAGCTACTCATACAACTACAACTACTTAAAAATTATCTATATTATTAACAACTTACTTTTATTTTATTTTTATTTTTTAAATTGCTAATGACTCGCTTCTATTTTATATTTTAAAAATACATGCATCGAGACACAAAGTGCCTTTCTGACACTAGTGTAACTAAAATTTATAATAAATTATATATACAAATAAATATTATGTTTGAATACATAAAATGTATTTAAAATTTGTATATATATTCTTTTAAACATATAAATTATATTTTAGATTTATGATGAAGAATTTATATTGTACCACAATATTATTTTTATTTATTGATAATTTACTTTTAAAATATTAAATTTAATTCATAAATAATTATAATAAATAAAATTCAAATTAGATAAGAAGTTAAATTTTTTTTTTCAAAAATTCTCTCATCAAGTAAGTCCCTAAAAACTCTTTTGTGCAAGAGAGGAGTCTGTGTTAATATATAATGGTTGAAGGGTTGATTTCTGTTTCATCTATTCTGTTAGATAGTCAGTTAGTTCTTCTGTTTAGTTAGTTGCTGACTCAGAAGTGAGTCATTGGACTCTTCTGTGTAATGTTTACTCTCTGTATAATTTTGCTTTATAATACTAACATAGTTCAGTTTCTCGGTATTTTGTTCTTCTCTGGATTGTATCAATTTGAAGTATTTTTTTTTTATTACAGAAAGTTTTATTAAACTGTTTTACATTAAAATAATTATGAATAAATAATTACGAATTATGTTTTTTTTTTTTTTTATCACAATCCTTGATTGATTAGAATATTTACTTGTATAGATGGTATTTAGTACTATAATTAGGAGATTATGATAGCTGTCCGATTTTTTATTTTTTGTACAGTAATCATTACCCTTAATTTTAGGAATTAGCAGTATTCAGACTAGTTTAGAAATTTCTTTTATTATAACTATTTTGTTTTATTTAGGAGCAATTGCTCTTTTAATCAAATAATCAGAAAAACATTTTCTGGCATTTTTAAATTTTTAACATACTATAAAAAACATGTTTTATTTTAACTTATTTTGAGAAATACTCTTGATGTTCTTTTTTTGTAATTTCTTATGAAAAAAAGTGCTTTTACTGTTTTTACATGCAAAGTGCAAACAGCCAAATCGACTTTTGACGTAAAAAGTAAAAAATTCCGAGTAAAAAAGTAAATTTATATACTTTCTGGGCTGACTTTTTCATCTGACAATTTCGAGTGCAGATGAAATTTGAGGAAGTGACCCGTAGAGCACAAGAACAATTTCAAATGGCTTTAGAAGAACAGAGCAGGTTATCATCAATTGTTATTCTCTTTTTTTGGGTGATGTGTTTGGTTTCTCTGTCTTCAACACATATACATGCATCGAGACACAAAGTGCCTTTCTGACACTAGTGTAACTAAAATTTATAATAAATTATATATACAAATAAATATTATGTTTGAATACATAAAATGTATTTAAAATTTGTATATATATTCTTTTAAACATATAAATTATATTTTAGATTTATGATGAAGAATTTATATTGTACCACAATATTATTTTTATTTATTGATAATTTACTTTTAAAATATTAAATTTAATTCATAAATAATTATAATAAATAAAATTCAAATTAGATAAGAAGTTAAATTTTTTTTTTCAAAAATTCTCTCATCAAGTAAGTCCCTAAAAACTCTTTTGTGCAAGAGAGGAGTCTGTGTTAATATATAATGGTTGAAGGGTTGATTTCTGTTTCATCTATTCTGTTAGATAGTCAGTTAGTTCTTCTGTTTAGTTAGTTGCTGACTCAGAAGTGAGTCATTGGACTCTTCTGTGTAATGTTTACTCTCTGTATAATTTTGCTTTATAATACTAACATAGTTCAGTTTCTCGGTATTTTGTTCTTCTCTGGATTGTATCAATTTGAAGTATTTTTTTTTTATTACAGAAAGTTTTATTAAACTGTTTTACATTAAAATAATTATGAATAAATAATTACGAATTATGTTTTTTTTTTTTTTTATCACAATCCTTGATTGATTAGAATATTTACTTGTATAGATGGTATTTAGTACTATAATTAGGAGATTATGATAGCTGTCCGATTTTTTATTTTTTGTACAGTAATCATTACCCTTAATTTTAGGAATTAGCAGTATTCAGACTAGTTTAGAAATTTCTTTTATTATAACTATTTTGTTTTATTTAGGAGCAATTGCTCTTTTAATCAAATAATCAGAAAAACATTTTCTGGCATTTTTAAATTTTTAACATACTATAAAAAACATGTTTTATTTTAACTTATTTTGAGAAATACTCTTGATGTTCTTTTTTTGTAATTTCTTATGAAAAAAAGTGCTTTTACTGTTTTTACATGCAAAGTGCAAACAGCCAAATCGACTTTTGACGTAAAAAGTAAAAAATTCCGAGTAAAAAAGTAAATTTATATACTTTCTGGGCTGACTTTTTCATCTGACAATTTCGAGTGCAGATGAAATTTGAGGAAGTGACCCGTAGAGCACAAGAACAATTTCAAATGGCTTTAGAAGAACAGAGCAGGTTATCATCAATTGTTATTCTCTTTTTTTGGGTGATGTGTTTGGTTTCTCTGTCTTCAACACATTCTGTTGCTTTGTTTTTCTCTGCTTTCCATATTCATACCTATGGAAAACTTTTTTTTGCAGTGTTCATCAAGCTAGTATTGTTTTTAAATATTTTTTAGTGAGATGTAAGCAGCAAAGCTTTTTCTTTCAAATATGATATTGCCAAAGCAGTTGTTAATCTCTCCATTCTTTTTTTTAGGCATTGTTCGCATGCCTAATTTGAAATATTTGATACTTAGATCATTTTTTTTTTCCAGTTTTTTTATTTTTTGTTTTAAATTGAAAAGGCTTTTACAGATTCTTTTTCTGACTGATGTATCAGATTTGCATTCGATATTGATCTTGATGCCCCAAAAGTTAGAGTTCCTCTCAGAACTAGTGGTTCAGACAGATGTGATAGTCATTTTCTTCTGGATTTTGGTCATTTTACTCTGCACACTGCGGTAAGCTACTTGAAATTCAAGATTATGAGTTGTGCTTATGACATGGCTGGGCATTTTATTTATTGATTCAATGTTTTCACAGGAAAGCCAGTCTGATGAGAAGAGGCAGAATCTTTATTCTCGGTTTTACATATCTGGACGAGATATTGCTGCTTTTTTTACTGATTGTGGCTCTGATTTCAGGAGTTGTAGTTTGGTGAAACCAAGTTATGACAGTCAAATAATGAATTCACCTATTTCTGAAAAATATGAAAATGTATATTATCTCATTGATAGGTGTGGAATGGCAGTACTTGTGAATAAGGTTTGTTTTTTATAAACTTATAGCCAAACTGTTATGCAGTAATTTTCTGGAATGCATTTTGATGTGCATAACTTGTTGTAGCAAGGTGGCTAAGTGGTGAAGAATAAAAGGAAAGGTTGTGCGATTAAGGCACAGAGAAAACAGCAGGGAAAAAAAAGGTGCAACGGATGTAGAGGGAAAGATGCAGCAGCAATGCAGGCTGCCAATTTAGGGTTTACAGTGCACAGACAAAGCTTCCTAGGTTGGAAGCTCTGATACCATCTGGAAAATTAGGTTAAATGAAAACTAATTTTCTATTTCATAATACAAAGAGATCATACAAGATATATACAGGAGACCTATGCTATTTTAGGAAATATAATAACTCTATTTTATTCTAGAATCCCTTGATTTATGGGATTGTACCTAATTATTCAAATCTGTACAGATTACAAGGAAATATACAAATTTCCTAATTTATTATTTCCTAAAATACTATTTGATTTCCCACAGAAATTGTTCTCTAGGTGGGAATCTAGCTTTCTCAAGTTATAAAGAAGTTTTATTGTGGTAAAAGTATTACATTACAATGCTTAAGGCCCCAAAGAAAGATAGTAATAGATGCAGTGATAAGGCATTTGGTACACAATTATGTTTTTAGTTTTCTAATAATCTGGTTGGGAATTTTAGTTTCTTTATATTAGTATATTATTTTAAAGATATTCTCATGAAACAATGTTACTTATTGTAATGATCCGCCATGGTCCCTATACTTACCGATTCACAACTAGCAACGAAAATATCAACTAAATTTGGAAAATACATACTATAATATGTACTTGTAAGATTTTTTAACTATTAAGGAAATAGAATTCTATACAACTATATAAATACGTATAGTAATCCAGATAGTAATAATCCTAGTAGCTGGTCCAATTACTAAATACAACCAAAAATGAGGTAACTCCAAAATCAATAGTTTGCCAATAGACATGGACTCCAGAAGTCTCCAACCATAACTTATCCCTGCTCTACTCCCATACTAAGTATGATTATTGCCATCGAATCACATGGAAACATGTAAGGGAAAGCTAAAGTTCAAAGAATCAACATAAATAACTCAACTTTCTATGACACTATCAATTTACCACCTTTCAATACAATACAACATACTATCAACGTGAACAACACAACATCTAACTCAATTTGCAACACAACATATTTCATCACGAGTTAACATTGCATATAAATATAACTCAATCAAACATCATATGCACAACACAACAAATATGTCTTGTCACACATTTCAACTAGAAGATCTTTTACAACACAGGTGGGTAGCCTAAGTGGCTTGACACTACCAAACCAACAATTCGATCTTTTCAATCCAATTAGATCAACAACCAAATGGGATACCAATCCCTACCAACATAATTTCTTGGATGTTTTCACTTAAATTAGGAAGTCTAGTATTCTTGCTAGGTAGAATAACTTGGACGTGAGCCTACCATGGCATTAGCTAGCATCAGTAAGCCGTCTATGGGATTAGCCAGTTGACTACCCTCCAAATACTACGCCTTTCAAGTACTTAGGAATTTTATTCCCCGACCTTGTACCTTACTCTAATTTGATCGTTTTATACATGCATGTTGACTTTGCCCACATATGGATCAACAGTTGATCGCTTATAGTTAGTATGCCTGGACTTGGCCCATATATTGCACCAACTAAGGTTCTAGAAGAGATTCATCCTCTTTAAGGGTCAACTTTTCAAGAAGGGTTTTTCAACAAATTTGGACTCTGAGTAAGTACCACAATTAGGGGTGTTCATGGATCGGTTTTTTCAAAAAACCAATCCAAACCGAACCGAACCGTTTTATAAAAGTGGATCGGTTAACCGATCCATTTTTTATAAAGTGGATCGGTTTGGTTTTTTTAAAATATGGATCGGTTTTTTTGAAATTGGATCGGTTTGGTGCGGTGCAGTTATCCACTTTTTTACTCATATATGGATCGGTTTTTTTTAGAAAACCAAACCGAACCAAACCGATCCACTTTGTAAAAATGGATCGGATAACTGAACCGGTTTTATAAAGTGGTTCGGTTCGGATTTTTTTTCAAAATGGATCGGATTTTTCAATATGGATCGGATCGGTTATGGATCGGTTCGGATCAATTTGGATTTTTTGCACACCCCTAACCACAATACAGTATCCTCCCAATGGAATATGCAACTTTAAAACAACTTCTCTTGTTCTAAGTTAATCAGCACTATACAACTTTCATGCCCAAAGCATGCTCAACACAACTACTCAACAACATACAAGCCAACTCATATAACCAGACCAAGTATAAAGATTCAACATCATTTATCAATATATAACATATAATAAGGCCAACTATTCTATATAGGTCCACCAATTCATCATAAAATAACGTTAAAATAATAGAACCTGTGTTCAACGCTGTTCAACCTAGGGTGCCATATAAGGCAGGGACTTTCTTCCTTGTCCATGTTTGACGTCATTCGACCCATGCCCTGCGTAGATTAGAAATTCAGAAAATTCACATGGCAAGCAATATTCAACAAGAACTCAACACCAACAACTCATTTCCAACACAAATAACAACATGCAACTACCTACAACAAAGTTTTATTTACATTCATAACTCATTTAATGTGGTAAAAATTGAAGTTTATGGAAAAGTTCTATTGAAACTAAACAGAAAGTTTTGATTCCTAAACACATATTCTCCTTACCATTTTTTTAATTCATTCACAAGAGTCATGATTTTCAAGATTTTTCTCTTCTAGGAATCATGATTCTTGGGTATGACAAAGTTTTCCGTCTACCAAAAGCACCCTAAGTTAAAACATGAAACATGGTGAACTCTTGTACCAATAAAATTATTCCAATTTGGAAGTAAATTTGGTACTTTTTTCTTATTTTGCATCTTTGGTTCAATTATGAATGATATTGTGGATGCTGTTTTGTGTGGCAGGTCCATGTCCTTCTCGCAGATGGTGATCTGACAGTGAAAATGAAATTGCATTCTTTAAAAATTAAGGATGAACTTCAGGGTCGTCTATCTGTAGCTCCTTGTTATCTTGCAGTTTCAGTCTTGAAGAGTGAAACTTTATATGCTGAGTCGTTTGATTCACGTGGGAAGGAAGTATTTCATGATGATGATGATAGCTTTACAGATGCACTATCTGAATTCATTTCTCACACAGATGGAGGATATTGTTTACATAATATGGATTTGGATCAGCAGGGATTGATGGGGATTGCTTCTGATTTTGAGTCTCTAGAAAGCATAATGCATGAAAAGGGCACTCCTCATGAGGTTTATTATGAGGCAGAGGGTACTTCAAATTTTGTATCTGTGTCCTTCACAACAAGGAGTTCCAGCTCACCTTTTTATGATGGTATAGACACACAGGTACTTAATTGGGCCTTGTAGATAGTGAATTGAAGATTTTGTCTTCACTTATATGTTATGATAAATAGCAGTATTTATCTTTCTGATTGTTTATCTTCAGATGTGTGTTCAAATGTCTAAACTGGAATTTTTCTGCAACCGACCTACTATTGTTGCTTTGATGAGTTTTGGCTTTGATATAAGTTCTGGAAATAAAGTGACAAGCCCCACAGACACTTCTGCAACTTCTCCAGAGAAACTGTTGGTAAAGGAGAGAACTGATGAGAAGGGGCCTGTTAGAGGATTGCTGGGTTTTGGTAAAGAACGTGTAGTATATTATTTGAACATGAATGTGGACAGTGTAACTATTTTTCTTAACAAGGAGGATGGTTCTCAACTTGCTACATTAGTACAAGAAAGTTTTCTTCTGGACCTCAAGGTAATGACATACATTCTTTTAGCTGGTCTGGACTCTAGAGCATTCCTTTCTGTTATTTGCTGTCTCATTTTTTTTTTTTCTTATCAAGGTTCACCCAAGTTCTCTTTCCATTGATGGAACATTAGGCAATTTTAGACTCTGCGATACATCCCTTGGAACAGACCAGTGTTGGGATTGGCTTTGTGACATTCGCAATCCTGGTGTTGAATCCCTTATTAAGGTATGTTTTCTTTGTCATAAACCATCCTTTTAGAGACTCCTTGTGCACTTTTTATTTTATTAATTTCAGTTTTTTACAAATATTTTACTATTAAACAGCATTGCACCTATTGTTTAGGTTTCACAAGTCATTTTTAAAAATTTTATTTGATTAACAAACATACAGTACATAACGTGCCAGTTAAAATTAGCTTATTTTGATTTTGGAGAAGTTTACATATTGAATATAATCTATAAAATCTTTTATGAAAATAAGGAGTAATAACAGAACTCGTTCAAAATTTGATTATTAAATTAATTCATTTTTCTTTGTTTAATTGTATTTTTTGTCTGCTCTTCTGATTTTGGCAACTTTAAAAACTGTTAATGTTTATATTTTCTGCTGCTATTTTTTCATTTGTAAAGATATTGTTATTTTTTTCTCATTATTAGTCTGTTAGAATATTCCTTTTGTTTTAGGTTTGTTACATGGGTACAGCTATAGTGGACAGCTGTACCCCTCTTCTATATATTTGGCGCCCTTGTATTCCTTTATTTAGTGTAATAAAAATATCTTTCATGTCTTTCATTTCTCTTTGTTTCCTAACAAAATCACATGTTGATTTTTCTTTTCAGTTCAAATTTAATTCTTATAGTGCTGAGGATGAAGACTATGAAGGATATGCTTATAGCTTGCAAGGCCATCTTTCAGCGGTTCGCATTGTTTTCCTTTATAGATTTGTGCAAGAGGTAAACTCAAATTCAATAAATTTGGACTCATTAAAAGCTGTATTTTTTTGTTTCTTGTGTTAAAGCAATTTAGCCTCTGAGATACAGTTTCTTGCACTGTTTTGTTGAAAATTTTAAATACACATTGGCTCTGCGTTCATATAGCATTTGACATATTTCTTTGTCTATCTAAAATAGAAAAATATTTCTAAATTTTTTGGTGGTTCCAGATAATGATGTACTTTATGGAACTTGCCTCCCC